TCGCTACCGGGGAAAGGAGTGTTATCGGACGATAAGAATCTCCTTTGTTGGTAGGTTTCCCCGGTTTGAGCAGTGGGACCACTCTCCCCACCTTCCAGATGTCTGGGATGATGAGAGTGGCCATTGACAAGTTGAGGACCTCCGTTAGGTACGCTACCCCCGCAGGACCCAAATTTTTCAGCATCAGCATGCATATTCCGTCGGGACCCATGGCTTTGGAGGCTTCCACCTTCCCTATGGCCACCTGAACTTCACCGCAAGTGAAAGCATGGGGGGCACAGGTTGTTGGCAGTTTATGCAGCCTTCTGGTCTCTCGACGCTTGGCTTTGTCCACCTGAGGATGCAGTATGAACTGCCGGCTAAAATAGCTGCCCGGTCGAACCATCTGGTTCGAAATCCACTAATCGGACTGTAGTTGATTCCAAAGATATTTTTTAAAATATTTTTATTAAAAGTTAACAAAACTTAATTTATTTTTATGTTGTTAGCAATTCGACAAAAGTTTTAATAATAATGAAAATTTTCTGTTTGATTGACGAACCACAAAAATCACATAAATCCAAAATTACAAAGTTGAAATGAACACAGTACAATAAAAGGTAATAACGCAAATACAAACCCTACAATACTCCCCCTTCTAGAGAATTAATGTTATATAAATTAAAAGTTACTCGTTTCTTATTTGATGTTGTGTTATTCATTGTATTAGTGTTTGTTTCTGATATTAGTTCTGTTTCAATGATTGCCGGTTTTAGTCTGTCTATCGGAATTGTTTTAACCTCATTATCTACTTCAAGTTTGAAATATTTTTTGTTTTTTTCAACAACCTTATAAGGTCCTTCGTATGGTTGTTGCAATGATCTTTTATTAATAACACGCATAAAAACAAATTTACAAGTCTCCAAATCCTTTGGTATATATACACCAGTATCAGAATTTTGATTATGCCTTAAATTTGATTTAACATTTTTAAAATGTTCCCGTAAATTACCTAAAACTTCAATTGGGGAAAATTTTTCTTCAGATGGAACAACAAGTTCACCGGGTAGGCGTAAATTTTGCCCAAAAACCATCTCAGATGATGTGGCTGAAATACTTTCTTTATACATCGATCGTAAACCAAGAAGTATTATCGGCAGCTCATCATACCAATTGTTGATTCCATTTCTAGCCATTATCGTAGCTTTTAACTGCCTGTGAAACCGTTCTACCATACCATTCCCTTGAGGATGATATGCAGAAGTTGTAACGTGATGACTACCAAGCAATTTTGTTAGTTCCGAAAACAATTTTGACATAAACTGAGTACCCTGATCTGTAGTGATTTTTAACGGTACCCCAAAACGTGAAACATATTCTCTAAAAAATTTATTTGCAACCACTGCCGCTGAAATGTCCTTTAATGCATATGCCTCGGGCCAACGCGTGAACCTGTCAACTATTGTAAAAATGTAACGATGTCCTTTCGATACAGGAAGAGGTCCAACAATATCTAAATGAATATGATCAAATCTACTTTTGGGAATCGGAATTTTAATTACTGGAGATTTTGTGTGACGATTAACCTTCGATTTTTGACAATTTATACATTCTTTTGACCAAATATTAATTTCTTTGTGCATTTTTGGCCAATAGTACTTTTTAATAATTAGACGACGTGTAGCTTTTGTACCAGGATGTGTAATGCCATGTAGCATATTAAACACTGTCTTGCGTAAACAATTTGGAACAAATGGCCTAGGATTCTCACCTGTCATTTCACACCAAATATCAAAATTTAAAAGTGGAATTTAAATTAATTTAAGGTTATGTGATGTGTCTCCAGATTTTAATGTGTTTAGTTCCTCGTCCTGTTCTTGTTCATTTTGTAAAACTTCAGTTCTGTACCCTTAATTGCATCAACTTCGACAGCTCGAGATAATGTGTCAGCTATAATGTTCTCCTGTCCTTTAATATATCGTATGTCATTAGTAAATTGTGCAATGAATTCCATATGTCTAGTTTGTCTCGGACTACGTTCGGTTTTTGAACTCAAAGCATATATCAAAGGCTTGTCATCCGTAAAAACTGTAAATTGTCGTCCTTCTAAAAGATAGCGAAAATGTTTAATGTTCAAATAAATATCTAGCAACTCCCTGTCAAATGCACTGTACTCACCTCGGATTAAGAAAGTTTCTTAGAAAAGAAAGCTAGTGGCTCTGATTTGTTATCAAACGTTTGATGTATGACACCACCAATTGCCGTATTAGATGCATCCACATTTAAAGAGAGTTTGGCATCTTTGTTAAAATGATTTAACAATATCGTAGACGCAAACTTTTCTTTAATACATTCAAAGGTTTTATTTGTTGTGTCATCCCAAATTAAGGACTTGTCACGTTTCTTAGTTGTTCGATTGATTAAATCGTAGATAACTGCCGTAAACTCAGCTAATTTTGGTACATATCGATGTTAATAATTAACCATGCCTATAGATTTCTGCGCCTGTTTAATAGATTTAGGACGTTCAAAACTACGAATTGCTTTCACTTTTTCATCAGACTAATTCCTGCCCCAGAAATATTATGTCCTAAAAAGTCAACACTTGTAACACCAAAAGTACATTTACTTGGTTTGATATTTAACCCGTACTCTGTTAGGCGTTGGAAAAGTATACGCAGATCTTTAAAATGCTGTTCTTCATTTTCACTTGCAACCAATAGATCATCAATATATGTAAAAACAAAATCTAAACCACTAACTACTTCATTAATAAATCTTTGAAAAGTTTGCGCTGAATTTCTTAGTCCGAAAGGCATTCGTATAAATTCAAACATACCGAAAGGTGTCGTTATTGCAGTTTTATAGATATCCTCTTCTGCCATTGGAATTTGGTGGTAGGCCCTTACCAAATCTAATTTCGAAAATATATACTTATTTCTGAGATTCATGTTAAAATCTGGAATATGAGGTAAAGGATAACGGTCCGGTACAGTCACAACATTAAGTCTCCAAAAATCACCCCAAGGACGCCAGTTATTCAGTTCTTTTTTAGGTACAAGATGCAGTGGAGATGCTACACAAGAATTTGAAGGTCTACAAATCCCTGTCCCCAGTAAAAAATCGAATTCAGTTTTGGCTACTTTAAATTTAATCGGATCCAAGCGCCTTGGCTTAGAGAATGGCAGATTTCCTTCAGTAAAATGTCTGTGAACCGTAGAATGTTTAACCGGTTTCGAATAATCTGGTTCAGCGATCAAAGAAGGAAACTCCTTCAACAATCTTGTATACTTGTTCTCTACTACGAAAATTTTTGGAAGCAAAATGTTACAAACACATGAAATTGTATTAACCGAAAGACTTGTTACTGGATCAACTAAACGTTTGCATTTCATGTCAATTAAGATACCGTATTTGCAAAGAAAATCTGCACCAATAATAGGTTTCGCAATATCAGCAATGAGAAACGTAAATGGGAACTCGCGTCTTAAACCTAAATTTATATTTAAAATCTTTTTACCATACGTTGAAATCGTTGAACCATTGGCTGCAGTAAGTATTATATCTGAAGAACGTTTTGTATGAGGGAATTTTTTTACCGGAAGTATAGAAATTTCTGCTCCACTATCAATCAAAAAATTTAGTTTGTTTGTTTTATCAGAAATAAATAGGCGACGTGTGGTAATATCTAAATTTCCATTGTTTGCCGCCACAACAACGGATGACTCTAGTTTAACGAATTTTTGTTTTTAGAAAAAGCACAAGGCTGTTGACATTTCTGAGCCTTATCACCAAATTTGTAATGGTATCTACATAACCAATTTTGACTATCACGAGATTTTGATCTACCTCTATATGGACTTCTAAAACAATTCCTATTATATGATCTATATCTAGAATTTTGATTAATTTGTTGCTTAATAGAATTTAATTCAAAGGAAAGTTTTTGAAAATTTTCGCACATAAGATTCGTCGTTTTAACTAAATTCTCAATAATTGTGTCTTGTGATTTAAAATTTTGAAAACTATTCATAGCTGATATTTCGGTTTTATTAATCACTTCCCAAATATTAACAGCTAGTTTCACCAATTCATTTATATCATTGGTACTTGAACTAGCTAATATCACACTAAGATTTTTTGACAATTTTCTCAGCCAAAGTTTCTTTAAAATATCTTGACTAAAATTAGAACCTGCAAGCAACATGAGCGACCGATAAAATTCAGAGGGTCTACGATCACTCATCTCTGAATCTGACAAAATTTTATCTAATTTCTTATTTTCGCTTAAAGAATGCCTTTCAATTAAGACTTTCTTTAATTCTGAAAACTTGTTGTTATGCGGAGGATTTTGAATGAAATCTAATATTGTAACTATTACTTCTTGCAGAAGCGCTGTGATTGTATGTTCATATTTTGTAGTATCTTGTGTAATGTTTTTCATGTTAAATTGCATTTCTATATGCACAAACCAAGCTTCTGGACAACTTGTCCAAAATTGCGGAAGCTTCACTGAGGTTGCATATACCTCATTATTATATTGACTAGCACAAGGATTTGCCAACTCCTCTTGAAAAGAGTTGTTTTGCAAATCTATAAGCGAGTCATTTAAATTATTAGTCCATGTAGATGTGTGTGTATCATGTGGGGGTGAACGAAACACTAGGGGTATTCTCGAAGTGTTGCACGTAGCACGTATTGCACGAAATGCAAAAATACTATTCAAAATTTGCAAGAGTACGAGAGCACCCCTATTGCAGAACTGTAGTTGCATTCAAGTCAAACAGCTGATTACATATGTGACATTGTTTTTACCTATCAAAAAACAAAACAATTAATGAACACAAAAATGCCGCGCACTTCTGAAAAGCAAAAAATTATAAATTTTCTGATTGAACAAGCTGCTTTCGACATTCTGCTTCAGGATGGTAGTTATTTACCTACATTTGTATATGTATATTTACTGTATTAAACTTTATTATCCTATCGATTCGCTTTCATTGCTAATTTAAAATTTCTAGATGAAGCTCGTTTCTGGGAGATTATGGAAAATTTGAATGAAGAACTTATAATCACTTTATCGAACTATCGGGGAAGTTTTCAACAAGTGCCTAAAAGTTTGGAATGGAGAACCACTATCCTTCCACAATTAGACGAATACCGTTTTCAGCAGATGCTTAGAGTTACGAGAGACCAATTTACATTTATACTGTCTTTGATTAGAAACAATATCGAATTTAACAAATCGCACTCTGTTAGACAATATTCGGTGGATCATCAACTGGCCATAGTTTTATTTCGTTTAGGCTCATCTGGCGAAAATGCGGCTATTAGGAAAATAGCTTCAGTGTTTGGAGTTGGTGATGGTGAAACTATTTACAAAATAACAAAGAGAGTCTTTCAAGCTTTCTTGGAACTCAAGTCCAAATATATTTACTGGCCGGATGCTGCTGAAAGGCAAGAAATAGTGAAAAACACGTATAATGAGATGCCACATTGTATAGGATACATCGACGGTACTGAACTGAAACTTGCCGAAGCACCAGTGAAAAACCATACAACTTATTTTTCTAAAAGTCGGATATACTCTATCAAAGGGCAAGTTGTATGTGACCATCAACTGAAGATTCGACATGTTGTAGTCGGACATTATGGAAGTGTTCACGATGCTCGCATGTTTCGTACTAGTACCCTCTGTACTGAAGAAGATAATTTTTTTTCTTTTGACCAATGGTTAGCAGGAGATTCTGCTTATCCCTTACTAAAAACCATCATTACCCCATATCGATCAAACTCCCAACAGTTGGATTACGCCAGACGCAAGGCCTTTAACTTACGCCATAGTAGATTTCGCGTGAGGATAGAACATTGTTTTGGGCTCCTTAAGGAGCGTTTTGGAAGCCTGAAAGAGCTGCGAGTTCGCATTCAAGATGAGAAGAGTCATAATTTTTGTTCAACTTGGTTCCTTGTTTGCTGCATATTGCATAACATACTACGAACCCCATCTCATGATGTAGATTATATGTATAACGTACTTGAAGATGACGAGGAACTGGATGAGCTTACTATGAATGAAATTGGTCAAAATAGTAGTCAAGCAGAATCCAAACGCAGCTATTCGTGTGCATTAATGCTAGGCGATTAATAAAATACTAAAAATTTATCATTTCTTATGAACCTACCTTAAGATTGGTTCGTTCCTAAAAGGATGTAAAATATTTATTAAACAAACAATTTTTTATTTAATAATAGAAAGTGTTTATTCGTTTAATTAATTTAATTTCATTAATATAATTTAATTTAATTTAATTAAAGTAATTTAATAGCAACAAAAATCAAAATGACGCTGTTGGCAACTTATTTTTATTTATTTATTGTTAATAATCTTCATTTACATAAAACATGGGTCGATCCATATCAGAAACAACATAAATAAAAGTCTCAAAGCTTGCACAAAGTTCACAAAAACTAATTAAACTTAAAAAAATATTAATCAAAATTAAAATTTTTTTAGTTAGATTTCCTAGAAACAGTTTGAGTAAGCAGCCTTGTAGCCAATTCAAATTAGAATAATAAAGTGTAAGTTTCAAGTCGATAAAAATGACCGTTGATTTTTTACAATTATTTTCGTGGAGGGTGAAATTTTGAATTTTTGTAAGTTTAACTAGTTTTTGTAAACTTTGTGAAACCTTTGAAAGTTTTATTTATTTTGTTTCTGATATATATATATATCGACCCATGTTTTATGTAAATGAAAATTATTAACGATAAATAAATAAACATAAGTTGCCAACAGCATCATTTTAATTTTTGTTACTATTATCTTGTTTGCAGCTGAACATACATAACTTTTATATTTATAAATAAAAGAACTTTATATGCACTTATCAAGTTCGCATTTTTTAACTTGTTTTTCTTATTTCATTTGTACTTCTGTCGTTTTATATACCCTTGTGGTCAGCTGATTAAGTCAAGTGATATTTTGACTAGTTTTGACTATTTTTCTTTTGTTTATTTAATGTTTATATTTTTTTTTTAAAGTTTGGCACTTTACCTAACTAGCGCCACGTAAATCCAAATTTCAAACTTCGTACCAAAATTATGAAAATTCAACAAACTTTAACATTTGCACAGGAAAATCTTAAACTTTTTATTAAGATATTTAAGAAAAATTTTGGGTATACAGTTTGGTAGTTCATTAAATTTTAGTAGATTAAAGTGCAAATTTCCAGACGCTAGAAAATCGCGTTGATTTTTAATAATTTTTTTTGGCTGATTACGTGGCACTAGTTAGGTAAAGTGCTAAACTTTTATAAAAAAAATATACACATTAGTCAGCTGACCACAAGTGTATTTTTTTTTATAAGTAAAAAAGAAAACTATTTGTACTTCTTATCAATTTCGTATCTGGAAATTCTCTCTTTCATTTCTATTTCTAGTTTTTTCAATTCTAACTCTTTCTCTTTCCACTTGTCTTCACTTTCTAGTTTTTTCATTTCAATATCGAGTCTTTTTTCTTCTACTGAAACTTTCTTTTCTTGTATTTCACTTTCCTTCTCAAACTTTGCCCGCTCGAATTCCATTTTGTTTTTTTCAAAAGCAATTTTTTCTTTTTGTACGGCTGCTAGTTGGCTAATGGACGGTTTGGGAGCAGTACGGGGTGCCACTTCCCTAGGAAAGCTAGACGAGGAGGAAGAAGCTGGTGCTGTAGCTGGTGCGGCACTTGAATTGTCAACAGCAGTTTCGTTCACTAGCTCAGGACTACTTGGAGATACAATAGTTGGACTGGCAGGAGAATGCTGTGGTGGACTTGGACTTGACACATCCGTGGACACTAGAAGTGGCTGAATGTTTGCGAACCTCTTACCAAACACTTCCTTTAGCCTATCGAAATGTGGGCACGTTTTAGCCAATTTTTCTGAAAACAAATACATAAGTATTTCTAATTCACATTTTAAATATAATAGCTTGGGAGACTTAGAAGCTTTAAGAATAAAAACATCACTCTCTTTTACTTCAATACCACAGTAGATTGTAAAGGCAAAAATGTATGTACATGTATCCGCGGTTATATCTTTTCATCTGGTGCGGTTTAGAAATGAAAGTGACGTTTTGTATTTTGTATAGTCCCGAAGTCACACTTTATAATAACATCTACTTACCTTCTATCGTTACGCCATCACTTTTATGCAATAGTCCTGCACCAGTACCCGACAGCCAATCGTTGGCCTTGTTGTAAAGAGATTTCAAGTGCCGCACCTTCCACCGTACTAATTCCCAAGTAACATTTAACTGCGTTTTCTCCAGAAAACGTTTGTAAAAAAACTTAGCCGATGGAGCCTGTGAGAATAAAAGCAACAATTAATCTATGTAAATAATACATTTTTATAAAGATTAATCAGAACATACCTCAAAATCTTCCTCCTGGTGGAGGAAATCAATTATAAGCAACACCTCTCGCTCAGTCCATTTATGGTTCGGTTCCTGTCTTGCCCTTTTGTTGGGGGTGCACCATCTTGATCCATTTTAATCTGAAATTGAGAAATAAAGCTATATTATTCCTAAAATAAAAGAAAATTAATAAATATCTACCTTTCGCTGCAAAATCACCATAAAATGAATAACAATAAACAGCTGGCACAGAGTCGCATTTACCTTGCTACGCTTTCCTGCAAAATATATACATGGGTTTAGACGTTGCATATTTTGCATCTATAGGAAATGTTGTTTCCCATATATTTTGTTGTTGTATGTTTGCAAATTATGCAATCCTTGCAATCCGTGCAACATGCAATGGCTCTGCAAGATTTGGAGAATACCCCTATTATGATAACTTCGCACAAAAAAATCTCTATAAAGAGTGTTTACAATTAAAAATTAAAATATATATAATAATAAATATAAAAATATATTTATCAAAAATATTACATAAAAAGAAACAGCTCACTGTGCTCTGCAACTGCTGATATTGACAGCACAGTCAACGTGATTGTTGCTGCGTTGTCGTTGCTATTGCTTCTTACCGTTCTTGTTGTTGCCAGTGGTAGGAGCTTTGCTTTTGTATAGTTGATATTTACACTGCTGCTAGTACTGGTTGTTATGACTACTATTATCGGCGGAGTTATCAACTGCGTCTAAAGCTTATGTTCTTCATTTGTTGAGCGTTTTTGTGTTGCTGCTACTGCTACTTCCGTTGCTACTACTGGCACTGACTCTGGTACGTGACACTGCTGATGTTCACGTTGATTTTCCTGCTGCTACTAACGCTGTCGCTGTCTGTTGTTGTACGCAGTAGTTGTTATTGGAGTTAGTGTTGGCGTTGATGAGTAGGAAAGATATCGCCGCTTCTTAAGTGGTGAACTTGAATCGTTAGATCTCCTCTGTTATGAAGTAAATGTTGTGGTTGTAGTTGAAACAGCTTCTGCGACTAGCTGAAGCTGAAGCAGATGCTAATGCTGACGCTGTTAGTTTTAATTGATGCTGATTGTAGTGGCGTTTGCAATCCCTGCATGCTACGCTAACTTGGACACTGGATGAAGCAACCTCTATTGTAGTTCCGGGAATTTGCCAAAACTGAAGACTTGCATGGCGCGCAGGCCTCTCGTGATGTTTTCAGCACAGGCACAATTGTGGTTCGCAAAGATATACGTAAACGTATAATGGCATGAGGTGCTCCTGGCAGGATCGCCAAAAATGTAGTTGATTCCAAAGAAATTTTTTAAAATATTTTTATTAAAAGTTGACAAAACTTAATAAATTTTTATGTTGTTAGCAATTCGAGAAAAGTTTGAATAATAATGAAAATTTTCTGTTTAATTGACGAACCACAAAAATCACATAAATCCAAAATTTCCAAAATTACAAAGTTGAAATGAACACAGTACAATAAAAGGTAATAACACAAATACAAACCCTACACGGACCAGCCTTTGGATCGCGCGAGTACAGGGCGAGAGTTAAGGCAAGCTTCAATCCTTACTGCTAACGTATGCAACTGGCTAGGCCATAGGCTTTGAGTTCCGACCGCTTTAGCTAAGTGGCGTTTGGCTGACTTTACCGCAGCTTCCCACAAGCCCCCTTGGTGGGGAGCATTTGGTGTGATGAAATGCCAGGTTTTTTCCATATGAGCTAGGGCCTGTTGATTTTGTTCGGCATGCCATGCAACAAGATCTTCCTGCAAGATGCGGTTCGCACCCACAAATGCGGTACCATTGTCGCTAAATAAGTCCTGGCATGGACCACGCCGACCCACAAACCGAGTGAAAGCATCCAAGAATGCTTACGATGTTAAATCCTCCACCACCTCTATATGAAAGGCCTTTGCAGTCATACACACGAATATCGCCAGATACGCCTTCGTCGTAGCGCGTGATCGTTTGGTTCCTATGCGAAGGGTGAACAGACCACAGTAGTCCACTCCAGCCTTTAGGAACGGGCGTGCAGCTTGGACACGCTGCCCGTGTAAAGCTGCCATTTGCTGCGTCAGGGCAACACCCCGATGTCGACGGAATACAACACAGCGATGCAAATAACTACGCACAGCCTGCCGGGCGTGCAGGATCTAGTAACGACTCCGTAAGGTCTGAAGCATTAGCTGCACCCCACCGTTAAGAGTAGTTTCACGGGCATGGCTTATCAGTAGATGCACAAGGGCACTAACTTTTTTCCGAATTATCGGGAACTTCGAGTCATGGGGGAGGAGGGCCCGTCCAATCCGACCGCCTACTCGCATAATACCTTGATCATCCAGGTAGGGGTTCAAGGGGCTTAGCGAACTTCCCATAGGTACCCTAGAATGATGTTTGATATGATTAATGCCTTTCCAGAAAAAATTACTTTGCTCCAAACTGAGAAGTTTTTGTAGCGCTTCTTCGATTTCTCTGGCCCCGATCGGACGGGGTACGCAAGGTCGGTAGCGCGGGAGCCATCGGCGGAGAAGTGCCACCGTTCGCAGTAACCGCTGAAGGGAGCTGAATCGTTCTGTTAACAGGATAGTTTGTCCATCAACACGGCGAGTTGTGAGTTGAGGCGGCTGGGATATGGCCGTCAGCACAGTCGTCGCCCTTTCTTTTGCCTTGTGCCTCCTCTTCCGCTGTCGGTGCTGTTAAGGTCGCCTCGGAATCGGGAACATGACGAAGGAAAGAGGGGACCAACCACCAAAGGTCATGTCGCTCTAATTCCCAGGTCATCATGCCACGGCTGGCGCAGTCCGCTGGATTCTGACCGGACCGCACGTAAAACCACCTCGACGGATCAGTCAGTT